ATTTATTTAGTATTTTTTAGTACTTTTTTGCCTTGGCCAGAATTCGATGCAACTTGAGCGGAATTACTAGGACTTGGGCCAAGTACTCAGCTCGGGCTTGTGCTCATTCCTTAAGCTTCTGTCCTTCTAGAGTTCCCCCACCAATAATCTCATTGATGACTTTCATCCCGGACTCTCTCCCCTTCTCTCTCGCTCTCTGGGAAGGTGTCTCCCGTTTGTAGAATTCACTTCCTAATCACGTGTTTTGCATCAGGGTCACGGATATTTCATTGTAAAGTGATAAAATCATGCAAAAGAGATAAGCTATTTAACATTTCACTCATACACCAGTTTTCAATACTCTAGCGCTAATGGTGATGTGGGATGTGGCTTTTGATGGGCTGTTTGAAATTCAGTGAAAAGAGTAACTGAGTTATTTGAAATCAGGTAAAAAAAGCCTCGAGAAAATGTTAAATAGTTGGACGCCTAAGTATGATTTGATAAAAGGTGTGGTTTGCATAAGATTGCAATTTTAAACAATCCAATTAAGGTGCTCCTCTAAATTTTATCATAAATATAATTTTTGATATAAATTTTTTTTAGGATGGTTGGAGAATCTATATTTTATCTCTAATTATAAAATTTTGAACTCTGAAAATGGTTCAAATCAAGTAGATCTATAAACACATGAAAATGTTGAAAATGGACAGTCTAGATAATGTGTTGCAAGATACACTATTTTACAGTCTCGAAATCTTTTTTTTTGCTTTCATATTCATACATCTCGATGTTGAGATGATCAATTAGAGGGTTTTTTTCCAACATTCAAACATCTTTTTATTATGGATTTTTGAGGTACACCTTTAATTCTACATTTTAAGTTTGCATCCTTATATAAACTCTTTCTTTTGATAAATTCGTCCTACTTTTTTTTTCAATCGTTTAGGTCAAACTCATTTGCAAATTATAAGACAAACACTAATTGTATTTCATAAACACATACGGGCGAAGGCTGCATAAACCTATTATGTGCACAAATTTTATTCTTTGATTTATTGACTATATCATACTCAAGAAAAAAGTTTATGTAAGGTTGACACTTTAAAATATAGAATTAAAGTATACCTCTAAAATCATCTGAAAAATGTTGTTTTGAAGTTGGAAAGACATTTAATTGATCATTTCAACATTGAGATGTATTGATGTGGAGAGAAAAAGAGATTTCAAGTCTTAAAAATAGTACATCTTGCAACACACTATTTGGATTGTCCATTTTCAAGGTTTTCATGCTTTATAAATGTGTTGGATTTAAACTATTTTTAGAGTTTAAAATTTTATAATTAGAGATAAAATAGATTCTTACGCCATTCTAAGAGCTCTCAACATCAAAGTTACATCTCATGAAAACGTTTGGACGTGCACCTTAATTTGATTATTTAAAGTTGCAACTTTATACAAACCATTAGATATACATTTTTTCTATTTGCGAATCCCCTTCTTTTGCATTTTTTGGAGGAAAAAGTTTCTAGAACGCCGCAACCTTAAAATTATTGATGTAAGATGCACCTCAAAAATCCTTTAGAAGAGAGTTTTCCGACATTGAGGAACCTTCCAATTGGTCATTTGGACCTTGAGATATGTTGATATAAAGAAACAAGACTTTGGAGTACTAAAAACAATACATCTTATTACAAGTTATTTGTCTACTTTCAAGATTTCTGAGTATTTATAGATGTACCATTTTTAAAATTTTCAAATTTATAACTATAGACAAAAATAAAAATTTAAACTATCATAAATTTGAACTGCATATTCAAGTAAATTTAAAAGCACACCTTATTTATACTAAATCGTAAAGAAGATAGCACCCCACACCTTAGTCACCACATTATGATTTTCATTTTTACTACTTACACCACCTCATTGATACCTTTAAAAAACTAACTCTTAATCTACTTAAAAAATAGGGAGGGCCGTCTTTCCCACATAATTAACCAAAAATCTTTTTTCTTTTTTACAAAATCCTTGAATAACTAGAGATCATCCATTTATCTATTTTTAGTTCAAGCTAGAAAGGGTATGGAAGAAAATAATAGAGTGAAGGCAAGGGCGTGAGCGTCCACCTAAATCATAAGAGCATATTTCTTTTCGTCAAGGATAAAGCAAGGGGCATCTTCGAAATAGCACTAAGAAATGTACGAACACTATCTCGGGCACATATCAGAAGATACAGGGGCATTTATGTAACTGATCCCCGTCATTCAAAATGTCAAGAAAACACCTTTGACCATCGTACCCTGTCTTGCCCCTCACTTTCTCTCTCTAAAACTCCAACTTCTCTGTTTTGACCGTCGTACCCTGATCTCTCTCTCTTTCTCTCTCTATAACTCCAACTTTTCTCTCTGAAACATTAAAAGCCACTCTCTCCTCATTGCCATCTGTGTTAAGCTTTCTGCAACAAAACGCCCCAGAATCAACGGCTCCGATCCGCTAATCCTATCATCTTACGGTGTCGTTGCACGTGTCAGCGCGTTCTACGTAAGCTCTACGTTAAAAAATAACCTCTCTTTCTCTCTCTAAAACTCAAAGTTCCTCTTCTCTCTCTAGCTCCCCCTCTCTCTCTAAAACTCAAAGTTCCTCTTTCTCTCTCTAGGTCCCCTGGCTTCGCAATTGGTATAAATAGGCGAAAAGCGCAGGCCCTTTCCCCCCCCCCCCCCGCCTCTTTATCTTCCCCCCAAGCTGCTATTACTGCAGGCCAAGACAGGTTTAAAACCCCCAAAAGCGGCTCCTTTTCTCTCTCTTCCTCTTTCTCTCTCTGACGGCGTCCACTTTCTCTCTCTAACATCGTATGTCACCGACCTTCTTTTCACTTGCCATTATTGTTCTCGTCATTTATTTTGTACTCTGAAGCTTCTGGTATTATTCTTGTGCTTTCTTTCGTTTCATTGAAATAGGTTTTCCCCTGAGGATCTCTTGTAACAGTTAGCCACTCGATTTCTGTTATTTTTTTTGTGTATGTGATATTGAATTGGGTTTACTTGCTGGCTTCTGAAGATTTGATCTGAACTGGATATTTCTGGGTACTTTAAATGAATCGACTGCTGATTGGTTTCTTGACAGTTGATTCATGTTTTCATTACATGTTTTCTGGAGGGAAGGTTATGGTTAGAGTCCTATTTGAATCTTGTATGTAAGTAACTCATGAACTATGAACTTGTGATTGAAATAATGTCACCTCAAGAAAAGTTGTGTTATGGGTTCATGGTCTTGCTGTGATTACTCAGAACTCCCACATTTTGTTGAATTCATAAGTTTGCATGTGATTTCCAATTTTTCTGTCTAAGATTTGAACTTGTCAAGACAACACTATAAATTTAGTCAGGAAGATTCATTCGTGACTAAGAAATTATGACAACAGAAATTATGACGACTTCTTTGTTTTTTTTTGAGGAAATGTTATCGGTGAGAAACAATCAGTAGCCACAGAATTTGCTCCATCTATAATACAGAAGTGTGGCCTTGAATCTAGAAACTTCCAGCAACACCACAGAAAGATGCTGTGACTGTGAATGGTGAGGGAGTGTAGGGAGTAGAAGATTTAATTACCTGATGTAGAACTGAAATCTGGCAAGCAAACTCAAGATATTTAAATCAAGTAAATATGTATAACTTGGATGCAGTTAATTTGCCATTGTTGCTAGTTAACTTTACCTAGTCGAAAAATTGGGGCCAACTCCTTGTTAAAGTATGATATACTCCAATAAGTATTCAAGTTGATCTTTTCTTATGAGTGATGGGTTTTCTTAAATGGTATCATAATTATCTTAAAGCATTCTCTGCAAATTAATCTTTGGGATTGTTCTAGGCGACCTCACTTGAAAGCAAGGATTCTCCTCTGTGATATTCTTCTTTTTTTTTTTTTTTTTTGGAAATTTTCGCTGTTGACTTCAGAAAGTCAATGATGTGTAAGTACTCCCTGAAGTTTGTCCTTGTTGGAAAGTTTGGTTTGACATAAATATTTTTTGAATCTACAAACAAGAAACATGAAGGGCAACATTATTTTTCTATTTCTCTTCTCTCTATCTCTCCCCTCCCCCTCCCCCTCCCCCTCCCCCTACCCCTACCCCTACCCCTACCCCTACCCCTTCCCCTTCCCCTCCCCATTTTCCTCCGCTAGTATGCGGCTTTGGGGCTGATACTTACCCATGGATTAATAATAGTCAAAAGCTAAGAGTTAATAGTTAATTTAACCAAATGAACTTAACCTTTAGAATTTATGCAAAAAAGTTAGAACACACGAACCCTGAGTCAATAAACTTGAGTGTGAAGTATATGCATTAAATCAGGTTAATGCATGTGCTATTTGTTTCTCCTGAATCATATTGAGCAAAATATGTATGCCATGAACTTCATACCCAGATTTGGTGAAGTTTGATGCAATCTGAATGATATATAAATTAACTCAATATTATGTTCTTTTAGTGTGTGTAAATCCACTATTTTATGATATTACATTCCACTAAGTGCATTGTATTGTTCTGTTGTTGTAATTAATTATTCTGTTGCTGCAATTTCACTTGTATTAATTATGTTACTATAATGGTATTTTACTCGATCTGAATCCAAATTTAAATTGAGAATTGTAGTCTTTGGCAATAAAGTTCTTTGAGTTTTAAGTATGTCATTTACATATGGAAAAAGTTTATACAAGGTTGCAACCTTAAAATGTAGAACTGTGAATGCACCTTAAATATCCATCGGAGAAGGTTGTTTTAATGTTGAAAAATCCTCTGATTGATCATCTCGACATCTTATATATTTATCTATGACTATGAAAAATAAATCAATTTTGAGTCTCAGAAATAGTGCATCTTACAACATATTATCTAGACCGTCCATTTTCAAGATTTTCATATGTTTATAGATCTACTTGATTTTAACAATTTTTGGAGTTTAAAATTTTATAATTAGATATAGATTTTGAGATAATCCTAAAAATATTTTACATCAAAATTATATGTTATGATAAAATTTGAAGGTGCACTTTAATTGGATTGTTTAAGGTTGCAACCTTATAGAAACCACACCTTTTACATATTGTTTTAGTTGTCTTCGAGCTTTAAATGTCATTTACATGTTGTTTTAGTTGTCTTCAGAATGACATCTTATTTACAATGCCAGATTTGGACTCTGAAAAAAGGCGATTTTGTTGATGTTAATCTTGCTGGTGTATACTCATTTACTATAGTTCTAGGATGTATGGTGTATTTGTGATATCAATCTTCCTATATATATACTATTGTATCAGAAGGATGCTAATTGGCTGTATAGTTCATTTGGCTTTATGTACATTGTGGGTTTTTGGGTGCTTTCATTGCCTCCTAGTCGAGTGCACCTTGAGGACTTCAAGTAAGTACCAAATGACAAATTTGTCAACAATTTGGAGGTTTTTGGGGTGCTTGCATTGCCTCCTAGTCAAGTGCGCTTTGAAGACTTCAAGTAAGTACCAAATGACAACAATTTGGACCAATATGCTACAAGTATATTTTGACCAAAATGCAACAAGTATGTGATGAGTTGTTACACTGAGTGTCATGGTAGTTTGAGTAAATTGCTTTGTAATTTACAATTTATGGTTGTATATGTTATTGCTTAAACTGATTCACTGAATGAAGTAATGTTGTTATTTCATGCAATATAACTTGGGGAAATAAAAAGAACACCGAAGGCATAGAAGTTCGAAGGATCAGGCTTTGGAATTCTTACCTCTGTGGTATCGGTATTGATGGTAATTCTTGATTCATTACAACTTTATTGATGTTGATTCTGTTCTATCAGATGAATCTATGCTTATATTCCTTAAGAAGTAGAGAAAAATTGCTTTGGAGTTATTGTTTTAGTTTATATATTTGTTTATTTTATTTGTAACCGAGGACTGTCATGAAATCTATAATTTTCTAAGATGTACCCTCTCTAAGCTAATGATAGTCCTGATAGATCTGTGATCACAACCAATTGAGGTGTATTAGCCTTTGTTTAGACAACTTTTCGGTCATAGCTAGCATAGTCGGTTGTTACCTTTTGGTTATGTGGGTTATTTAGAAGGGCAAATGCTGCAGGATGCGAGGTCATTAGTATTTCAATAGATGATGTCTTTTTATAACTTATAAGTAAATTTCCACTAATTATTCTGTGTAATTCCTCTTCTCAATGTGTTCCTTGGAACAATATATATACGATGCTGCATTGTTTTACCCCTGGAGTTTAGCAGTTATTTATTTTAGTGATAATAAGACTAACCATCTATGCACTCATCCAAGAAAAAAGAAAAAAAAAAGATTTATAATCTTTGCAGGGTGGAGCTGGTGGTTAACCAAACTGATTAATTTTACTAGATAACTCTGGCATGGCCAACATGATTAGAAGAGTTATTGGCATGAGACCATGGCCAACTTCTCATTCGTACTCAAAATTTTTGAATGGAATACATATTTTTCTGTTAAAAATACTTGGCATTTATTAGTATTAGTTTGCATTCGTCCTGCAATATTGTTTGTTTACTATCTTAATATATTGATTTCTGGTATCGTACGATCAATTTGTTTCATTTTCCTTTACTTGCTGCAGAGAGTGAGTTGTTGAATCTTAGCCTCTTAGGAATTGAATGATGGAAGTCAATGGTCCTAGAAAATCAAGGAGAAGAGATCACACTGTTGGAGCAAACCACGAGAAGTCAAATGATTTAGAAGATTTTGATCCCTGGACTGCATGGGCATATAGACCTCATACCATATCCTTGTTGCTCATTGGGGCTTGCCTTCTTATGTAAGTTCCATGCGCTGTTGAATTATGAATTTGGGGTCTCTTGACAAATGAAGTATCTTTCTGCTTTTTGCCTATCACAGAGTGTTATTTGATACTTCTTATTCTGTATCCAGACTAATTTTTGTGTATTTGACTTCTCTATCGTAGTTGGGCGAGTGGGGTTCTTGATCCAGAAAAGGTATCAGATTATGGTCGAGTAATGCATGTGACAAGGTTTGTTATGTTGAGCCCCGTTTTGCTGACTAAATTCATTTGGACAAATTATTTGCATTTTTTATCGATATGTAGAAATCATTAGTTGGTTTTGCATTTGTAAATGACTTACTAGATAATCGAGTGAATGTAGTACCTTTCATAATTATTTTGAGAATAAGGTAGTTCCAACCAGTTGCTGATCTCTTACTTTGGAGTTAAAGTTTTCTTTGTTGGGAGATTGTACACGGGCAAAAAGCCATATTGCAATTTTTATGCCTCTTCCATAGTTAGTTCACCAACATGAAAGAATCTTATAATACGTCAAAGTGTACAATAAGTGTAACAGATGCTGTGCTTTTCGATTCCTACTTTGGGTTATTCCAAATTTAAGATTTGATTTATTGAATCCAAGAGATGGGTTATTGATTTACTCAAATTTCCAGATTCAACTTATTAAGTCATAACTTTATTTTGACATATGGAGTTAATCGTGCTGTTTATATATAGGAAAAGGCAAAATCACAAATGACACTGAAATCTCAGCTCATAGTAAAAAGTTAAGGACAAATTTAAGTTTTTTCTTAAATAGTTAATTATTATAATCAATCTACCAATCCTACCAGATTCTGATCTACTGATCTTTTAGGTATTATCTCTATGTTTTATTTGTCCATTTTCTATTTTATTCACCCAGAGAATATCTCTCCCTCCCTCTTCTGTCTCAGGGAGGGCGGGAGGGGAGGTAGGAAACGGAGGGGAAGGAGGGCGGAGAGGGACGGAAGGAGCCTAGCATTGTAAATGATAAACTCACCATTCAGGGAGGAAGGGAGGGAGGGCTAAAATCACCATTTTAGGGAGGGAGGGAGCCTAACGTTGTGAATGTTAAAATCACAATTTCAATCGCCCCCTACATAAGCCATGTACAGATACTAAATGTTGTGCGAAATATTGAGTTTTTATTTAATTTTTTAGTATAAATAATATAACTAATGGCCCCATGTTTCCGCACCATGCAGCCATTCTTTGAAAGAAGGAGAGAATGGGAATCGATACATATTCAAGCTGCTTCGAAAATTGTTGCCTCTTATGTAATCCCTTATGGCATTTGGGCAAAGACTTTACCTTGCTTATTTCATTTTAGAAAGTGTTAACCTTTTTGTTTGGAAATAAGGCATTGATAACATAAGTATCTTCACTTGGTTCTTTTAAAGGAGTTATCTTATGCTGTTCCTGACGCATGTAAAAGAATTATGCCACAAATACTTGAACATATCAACTTTCTGATTGTTTAACTCAGCTTTTCGGGAGTCGTGGTTATATGTTATCTTGTTTTACTACTTTTGCATATACCTCATTGTCTTTTTGACCTTCAAGGTGTTTGAATCCATTTCATTTTCTATATTGTTTGAGTCAGTAGTTGTTATGGAATATATGTGACATTCAAGTAAGCTGTGACAGTACCTTGTATAACTGCACAGTGTGCTTGAGTTGCTGACATGTTTTTTTCCTTTCATCAGGGGTGTTTGGGCAATGATTGCTGTCTTTCTGGCTTACTGCTTGCTTCAAGCCCCTTCAACGTAAGTCACAAACTTTTGGTAACTATGCGTCTACTTCCTTAGAATTTTACCCCTTCATTTTGTTTGTTCCATAAATAGTTCTTGCTGATCTTGACTTCTATTAAGGAACATTTCAGGTCGTGTTTTGCTTTTTTTTTTCAATGGAATCACAACATGATGCATATGGATGTTGGGGTTGCTTCCATGATATATACATGCGGTGAAGATTTAAAACTATCTCCAAAAGAGATTGACGTGTTTGTGACAAGATCTGTATCAATTGTTCATCCTGGTAGTTGGACCCTATCAAGTTTCTGATCAGGGAAATTGGAGCTTCAAATTTCTTTAGAAAACATTCTACTGCTACTTGTTATTGCTTTTCACAAATACATGCTATTAGGTTGAAGAGTATTTCAAATCGTAACTTACCTTTTCAATGCACATTTTTTTCCATGAATTGATTTGATCCAGATCTTTGGAAACTATTTGTGCTTCTGAGATTTTAAGTTGCTATGACATAATTTCCTCCTCTTCTATGTCCTTCAGATTTCATTTCATCCCTCCCTTGGATGGCGATATTGAAAAACCTAAGCACCCTAGCAAAGATGTGGGATCATTTGTTAGTGGTTATAATGTTATCAAGGGTCAATAGTGTTTCCAAATGTTGTTATTCTGTTCAGTATAATTACTCGGAGGGTATGTGCATGAATTATTTTAGTTTGGCCTGTTGACTCAAGAACTTGCCCATAGGAAATACTAGAATGAATGTGAAGGAAAATAGATCAAGGGAACATGGGATTGCTTAAGGTCAATGTTAAAGAAGGTTGCAAATAGACATAATATATAAATTTAGACATAGCTAACACAATTTGCAATATGATTAGTAAACTAGAAAAGCTTTTCCCTTGTCAATGTATTATGTAATGTACTCCTCACCTGTTTTAAGGTTTATCCCTTTTTGATTTCTTATGACTGGTATGAACCTTGATAGAGCGGCAAGGTGGAATTTGATTTCGGTAGTCGACCACAAAGGCATAAGGCTCAGATGATGATGATGATGGTGATGATGATGATTCTTATGACTTATTGATGCTTTTTGAGATGTGAACGATAGATAGCTTTGTTCTCCTACTAGTGAAAGCATGGTGCATTACAATCTGCTTCCTGGTTAGAAGCAATAGGATTCAAATCCTACTTCTAACACCACTTCTTAGATGATAAAGTCAAAGCTATCTTGTGCCTATTTCTATGATTTGAAACTTTACTCTGTGTGGTCCTTGGTTGAGTCTCTTTAATAAACGGCAAATGATGGCAAGCCCCATTTGAATTGAATCAACTCGGCGTTCAAAGGCGCATTTTTATTCACTGCAGCTGCAACTACAACTTGTGGTGCATAATTCGATTAGTGAGCTGTATGTCTTACATGTCATTGTCATTATTGAGTGAAGTAATGAAATGTAATTCTAGTTTTAGTGATATTTATTCATTCTTGATATCTCAACGGGTACTCATGGGCAAGGATCTAATGCTTAGGATGCTGAAGGCTGAGTCTCTTTAATAAACGGCAAATGATGGCAAGCCCCAGTTGAATTGAATCAACTCAGAGTTCAGAGACTCTCATTTTTATTCAATGCAGCTGCAACTACAACTTGTGGTGCATAATTAGATCAGTGAGATGTATGTCTTACATGTCATTGTCATTATTGAGTGAAATAATCGAATGTAATTCTAGTTTTAGTGGTATTTATTCATTCTAGATATTTCAACGGGTACTCATGGGCAAGGATCTAATGCTTAGAATGCTGAAAAAGGAACTACTACTTAATTCTATAATTTGAGATAATAGGAGTAAAAACATTATGTACTTCTTACTAAAAGCTTTAAAACTTTGGAATCTGTTTGATGAGATAGTGTATTTGTTGCCTCTGGGACTCTTTCATTTTGTCGTGTATTGATTGAGGGTAATGCAAATGCTGATGCATTAGCCAATAGTGGTGTGGCATGTGGTATCATATGTATTGTGGCTGAATTGGTGGTTTTTCAATATCTAACTCTGTGGATGTGTTTATTATTAAATAAACATTCACTTATGGATCATCATCATCATCCAAGTCTTATCTCAATGATTTGGGGTAGACCACATGAATCATGTTCCTCAAATCTTCTATAGGTTTAGAATTTATTTATTTATTATTAAATAAATCTTCACTTGTGGAGGTGGGGGGGGGGGGGGAGTCTGTTTGCCCATTCCTTATTGGGGTGAACTGATTTTCAAAAGTTGGGAGTGAATTGGCAATGGAAAGGAAATTGAAATTAGTGGAAGTTTGAGGGAGTTTCGTGATAGGGTGCTAATCAATAGGAATGAATGTGACTTCTATTACTTTAAAGTTCTAAAATTTTGTCTGCAGTATATTCAGGGCAATGATTGACATATTTCATGCGTAGAAGGGGAAGATGGTAAACCAGGGAGGCCTATAGAAGGTGGGAAGGAGCCTCATTGAAGCTATTCCAAGGACGCAGCCTTCATAGTGCCTCTCCCAATAACCTTCCCAGTTGCTTAATCATGCACCATATAACCTTCATTAGTGAACAAGAGAAGACACTTCTTGTCAACTAACTACCCTATAGATTTTAAATTAAGGTGGACAGCTGGGAACATGATGGATATCTTTAAGTGACAGAATTACTAGACGGAACATGGATACTAGGATTAACACCTCATCTCTCATGGGCCAATGATTGGCAAAGTAAGATGCCTTTATTTCGCAAATATGGAATTTGTTTTGAAAAGGTGGAATGATAGGGAAACGATGGGTTTATGTGAGGAGGGATTGCAAAACTAACATCCTTTTCGATTTTTGTCGTATCAGTGACAGGCACACAAATGGTAAGGTGTTCTGACATTGTGATGCTATGGGAGAAAATCACAAAACAAGTCCAAAAAAATTAGAAGAAACCCATATATGGTTAAGTGATGACATGGCAGTGTACATTTTACTAACAAGTTCCACAAAAGTGTAACCTTGATAATCAAATTATCAATGAAAAATTGTGAAAACTGAGGATGAGCACTTAAATAAGTTTGGAGGTCCTAGGCCCGATCAACCATGGGGGACATTTGATTACTGCTATGTGCATGGGCATGAAAGCTTGGTTGGTTTTTTGAAATTTCTTGGAGTTGAAAGGTCCTTATGAGGCCAATAAAATGGAGCTGGTGTATAGTGTGGAGGGATTATATGATCGTGACTTGTCAATAGGTGTCAATTGTAGGAAGGAGGCCACCCCATGACATTGCTTTTCCTCACACATGAAGAGGTGAATGCGCCTTTGTGAGAATGAGCCAAGTAGGATGAGCTTACAAGGGCATGGTGGGAACAGTGTTTTTTATGTTCATTTCATGAAGCTTTTTTGTTTTTGGAACAATTGGCTAGTCGAGAAGTCCATTGATTTCTTGAGGCTTAGAAGGGAATTGCATGGAATTTTTATGTCTGGACAAGGTTTTGTTCTGAACCATAGTTACTGGGATCTCCTAACTTGGTGGTGGTCCCCATGATTCGACACTCCTAGAGCTGGACCTTGAGAGGTCTCGCTCCCATATGGTGGGAAGACGATCCCAATCCCTTTGGGAGTGGTCGATATAAATCACACTCATGTTAGATTGATCTTTTATAATGAAATAAGTCTTAAGTGTATGCCATTAAAAAAAAAGAAGTAATTATGTCGCAGAATCATGATATATATATTTTTCAAAGAGAAAAGAGATACTTTTACCAGATTGGTCTCGAACCTTTAGAATTTATTATGCTATTCCAAAAAGCTTAGGATATAGCTACCTAACATGTTGAGATTGAGATCCCTAAAATTTAGGGTGTACGAACAATTATTCCAACCATAGGGAGATTGTAGCCTACATGGTCCCACGCTCTTGATCCTACTCCTGCTCCTAATCGCAACGACTGTTTTCAAAACCTAGTGACCAACCATAGGGAGATTCTAGCCTACATGGTCCCACGTTCTTGATCCTACTCCTGCCCTGATCGCAACAAATGTTTTCAAAACCTGGTGAGTATATACGGTGTGATGATGCGAAGGAAGATTGCCATTGGTGTGGCGAGGCGCTAATTTTAAGGTCGAGTTGTTAACAATAGCCACAAAAGTTGTGGTGCGGGCACATCATGCATCATACTTATTTATTTATTTATTTATTTTTTTAAATTATTGTTTCCTATTCTTATGAACTGGATGCCTTTTGTCGTGGTCCTGCAATTTACAAAAGAGATATCAAATAGGAATGAATTAAGGAAGATCCAAGGACTACAGAACGAATCACAAGAATAGTTGGTGCTGACCATTGGTCCATGATGGCAACCTGAGGAGGAAGGCCAAGTTTCTTTCACACATACCTCGTCAAACATTTTATCCAATTATGGAAGGGGATAACTAAGTACCTGGCAGCTACAAAGTTCAGTGGAAATCTATTAGGAACCACATTGATTGAGGCTTGTTTCTTCTAATTGGTTTCCTGAGCCATGTTGTTCCTGGAGTGGAAAAATGTATATGTTTTCTTTTAGTTGTTAGATATCTCTTCCGACTAAATATTATATTTAAAGTTGTGGAATTTGCAAGTAGAATGCATCATGAAGGGAGTATGCTGGTGGCCAGGCTTCAGCATTGTATTGTCTGGTTAAATGAAGAAAAAATGATGAGTTCACCACTATAGGTTGGCTTTCCTAGTGATATTTCTAATCATCATCATTCAAGTCTTATCCCAATCATTGGGGTCGGCTAGTGATAGTACTAAATACATGTTCTAACTATATTGCCCACATTGTGATATTTGGTGATACATAGCTATCAGAACACATTAATTTATCTAACTTGAAGTTTCATTCTCATTTATAATTCCTCCTGTGGCTTCTTCATTCTGTTTTTGGCACGGAAAATTTTAACAAATAATAAACAACTAGCAGGCAATCCAATGCTCACGAAATTCAATTGACCTCTAGCTGGGGTCTTCAACATTCGTTACACCAAGCTAGATGGTTTTGATTGAGAAATTACAACCTGAAGCAGAATCATTCCTTCTACCTTCACTAGAATTTTTTCATACAAGGTTCACATACACTTGTCCAAGTAATATTCTTGTGAACTGCAAGTTGTACTCAATGTCTGGGTCAACTGTTTGAATACTTGCATAAGTATTTGCCTGACTTTTTAATGGGAGAATGTGCTTTGTTATTTTTTGTTAATGACCTCTCCAAGTTGTTACAATTTATCTTAGTCTTTGATGTAAATTTGGTCGTTGATGAGGTACCTTCTGTTTTGCATATATGATACTGGTATGTTTACTTGTGCAGGATACTTATTCGGCCACATCCCGCTATTTGGCGATTGGTTCATGGAATGGCAGTTGTGTACCTTGTGGCCTTGACATTTTTGCTCTTTCAGGTTTAGTTTTGTATTTATCTATTTTCTACCATTGAAATTCAGGTTCCATTTATATAATTTGTACTAGTGAGATTCATGAATTCTAAAATTGGCTGTGACCAAGTGTATAACTTGTCTTGAACAAATTTGTCATGACTTTCTATTGATAATTTAAGAACGTCCTTGCGTGTATCGAAATATACAATCATGACTTGTCAATAGGTGTCAATTGCAGGAAGGAGGCCACTCCATGGCTTTGCCTTTCCTCTCTCGTGAATGAGGTGCCCTTTGTTATAAGATGTCATTGTAGAAATGTGCCTTTGTGTGTATCCAAATATATTTGGACGGAAAAATTCAATGATGATGAAAAATGAGAATGGCATCTCATCTCCATCTTTGATTGTTTTGTTTCAATATGCTTGTGTCTTGATATGTTAACTCGGGTCTTAATGTGTACAACATCCAGCGATTCTGTGGCATCTAGGATCCTAAAGTAATACTCTTACTACCCCAACACTTTGATTTCAAATATTATTATTACATTTCAAGAATTTTTTGAGTAGTTATCCTCTGCTGAGTCTAGTAAAGCTAAGGTAAAAGGTGGCATGGCCTAGCAAGAGCAAATGGCTTAGCTATAGAGTGTTTCATGTAACTTTGTGTTCTTCTCTTGAATATGCAGCACATATTGAATAAAAGCTTAATATTGACATATTTAAGGTGTTTTCCATATCAAACAACCAACAAAAGCTAGCATGAAGCCAAAAGAGAAACTGATACTTCTGAGGTACTCGACATATTAAGGGGTTTTCCACATCAAACTACCAATGCAAGCTAGCGAGAAGCCAAAAAAGAAACTGGTGCTTCCAAGGTAACTGCTTGTAAGTTTTGACCGCTTCTACTCTATAAACATTGGTAGGTGCAAAAGGGAATACGTTGACATAGGATGGTTCTTCAAAGAGAGCTTGACATAAGATGGTTCTTCAAAGCACCACTTAGGACGAGTGATTTGGTTCAAGTGAAATGTTAAGGGGAAAGGCCCATAAGGACATGGATAGAATTAGTGAGAAGATATATGGTGACTTATGGTCTGGCTAAGGGAGCGGAATAGTGGAACAAAATTTGTGTCGCTGACCCCAAATAGTTGGAATAGGGCTCGAATGATAATGATGATGATGATGATGATGTAATAATGGAGTGGATCCATTGCTTCAGATTGTGAATGGTTCCAAATGAAACTCCTCCGCAAGATAGTCATGAAAGTAAATAGTGGTCATATAATCCCAAATCTCTTTGGAAGCCTTGATAAGCAAAACTGGACCAACAGCCTGGACATGTTCAGCTGGTTGTTACTGACCAACCCAGAGTTCTCTGGAGAACATTCAGGACAACTCTTGTGGCTGGGAAGTCGATAGAAAATAGTCCCATTCACATATCACGATACACACTTGCCTTCAAGAAATAGAGTAGATAGAAATCATGATTCATGCTTGCCTTTATGGAATAGCCTTACAACTTAGGACCAGTGAAGTTACAATTGATTCCATTTATCTAGAGCAAAATGTTGTTTGTTATTCAGTTTAGATATGGAGATGGGCAAGTTTACTATTATGAGGTGCTATACTTTGAGCGAACGTCATAAAACTTAGGAGGATTAAAATAGACAAACCACCTTTTCAGTGGCAAGGAAAGAAATGAAGAGAAAAAACATGAGAATCTCTAATAACAAGTGATTGATAAATCAGATGCCTCAGGCTCGGACTCACCCAAGAACTTAGACCCGGTAGGGTGCTGGATCCAGTTCCCAAACCCAAGACTCGACCAAGTTACAGGGTACCCAACTTTTGTTTTTTAAATTTGGTGTTAACTTGGGTTCCGGACCCTTTTGAGACCCTACCCGAGTTCAAGTAAATCTCAGCCAAAATGATGGTGTATGAATATCATATTGACTTCGCTATATTCCTTGATATTCTAGTTGGGGAGACAAAATGAGACTGTGGCTATTGATTGATATTTATTCTTTAAATGGTGGGTGGGTGAGTGTGCGCGCATGGGCACAGACATGTGTGTGTGTGTGTGTGTGTGAGAGAGAGAGAGAGAGAGAGAGAGAGAGAGAGAGTTTGGCAGGGGGGAACTGGAGTGCGAAGTGATGAGGGACAGAGATAGGAGAATCGGGAATGAATGTTTTGCTGTTTTTGATTTTCTTTTTGCTGATTTAATGGTGTCATAGGAGTAGAGGAGGATAAGGGGAGCCTATTCGCTCCCTCTCTTTGGTTTTCCATCAATGGTGAGGATTCGTGCCAAGGGATAAAATTCCTCACTGTGCTGATTCTGAGTTGCTACTAAAGATGACACAAAACCTGAGAAATCTAGTTTCTTCCATTGACTACTCTTTGGGCTTCCATTCTTTCATGCCACATAAGAAAGACTAAGAGGACAGACAGTATAGCTTCTTAACTAATGAAAGAAAAGCCTGAAGTGCTGATTACGCAACTTGCAATTACTAAGGGCCTAAACCACTGGAATACCCTCCTCAAGAATGATAAAAGAATACATGGTTATATTTGTAACTCGCCCAAGAATAATGAGAAATTTTTCATGGGAATAATTATGAGCTTCTTGAGAAATTCTGACTTAGTTGTTTCATGTCTAGGATGTTTCGTTTCACCCTATTTTCCTCTGGTTTCTCAGTTTTTGATTGCTACTGTAATCTACTGTGCTCCCAAGCATTCCTGCTTTTGGGAATTGTCATTTCTCATTTGATTGGTAGTAGTATTCTATATACTGCTTTTGAACTCAATTATTATTTTTCGGTTACTGTGTTGTCCCTTATTGGACTTGTATTATAGTTCATTTCTTATATGCCTTCTTTTTTCTTAAGTTAATTATTATTTTTTGGTTACTGTGTTGTCCCTTATTGGACATGTATTATAGTTCATTTCTTATATGCCTTCTTTTTTCTTAAATTAAATTTCATTGTTGTGTATACTTTTCCTTTTATAATTCTGTCTTACATTGAGTACTGTCTTAATTTCAGAAACGTGATGATGCTCGGCAATTTATGAAATTTCTCCATCCTGATCTGGGTGTTGGTATTATGTTTAACTTTTCCATATAATTTCCTCATTGATATGCATATCATGTAAAAGTATAGTTTGTTTTCTTATATAGAAGTTCTAAAATGTTTACAGTCTTCTTGTTGTTTCAATTCAGAACTTCCAGAACGATCATATGGTGCTGATTGCGGTATCTATACACCCGAGAACCCAACAAGCAGGTTTAATAATGTTTATGTATGATGTCTTCATTCACCATCTCACCTGAATTCGACTGGTTTTTATCATTTTAGTATTTATTGCAAAGGAAACATATTATTTACTTTGCTAGCTACTCATCCGAATTGTTTGGTATTCCTAGGAGACTTTGTTTGATGAGTTTGTTCTAGCTCATATTTTTGGTTGGTGGGGAAAGGCTATCATGATAAGAAATCAGCCTCTTTTGTGGGTATTATCCGTTGGCTTTGAATTTATGGAGGTCAGTGCTGCATTTCATATCTATTTTTGTGATAATTATTTGATGGCTTATAATGTACCACACAATGAAGCTAACGTGATGTTACGACAGCTTACATTCAGGCACATGCTACCGAACTTCAATGAGTGTTGGTGGGACAGCATTATCTTGGATATATTAATTTGTAATTGGTTTGGTAAGTCATCTAAGGCTGTTCTTCCTAATCTCTTTATAATGTTTTTTCTGTTACTTTTTTCTTTTAAAAAATATGATCCCTGTGCTCAACCACTGGCTGTGTGTTGTAATCCTTGGCAGTGGAGAACATTCTTTTGAGATGGTTGGGTTTCCCTACTAATTGCAGTTCTTCTATATTCTTTTCTCGTTAGTTGCCTTCCAAAGTTCATGGTTTCATATCCCAAACAAGGTTTTGGGTAATTTTTTGCAACTATTGTGTATTTCTCTGTAAATATGAAACTGAAGACCTGTTATATGTTTAAATACCGGTACAATTCTGTACAACTATTTTGTAACATTTGATGAGATCATGTACTAATGCTGTGTTCATTAGCATCTTGTTTTTTTTGGTTTTTAATTGTACTAAGTCTCATTAAATGTAACATCCTGATGCTACGATGTAAGAAACTCAGACACATGATTCTGTAAAAGCATGTTTTATGACTTCTTGTGGAATATCCTGGGAACGTTTTTGAATAAAATATCCTTCTTATCTACTATCCGGCTGCATTCCTATTTTAAGCAAAACATTCTTATCTTCTCGAATTTTACCTATCTTAGATGATAGTATGTCTCTTGAACAATCATGAAACAAATTCAGGAAATGTTCTTCATTCCAAAGGTGGGAGAAAACCATTTAAGTAACATTCTGCACATCAAGCGCACAAGTAAGTTAACATCTGAAAATGTCGAGAACTAGGAATTAGCTCTAATCACCATTCTTTGGGACCAGTGCCTTAAGCTAGAAACCTTAGCCCAAGTTGCCTTTCGTCCATCTCTTTTGTTGCTGTCCAACCTATGAGTTGTTGAAAAGGAGATTTGCAACAGAATACACTAGGTTCATAAAGGATCTCCATTGTTTTTGGGTTAGGTTTTTTAGTTTCAGATAGTGAAACAATTGAGAAACTATCCTGTATACGTCTATATGCTGAAAATTTCCTCTTCCAGATAGGAAACAGTATTACATTATTGGGAGGAAAAGTTATAATTCACTACATATAGGCCTCCAATAAAAATTTTGACCTAAGAAGCGCAATCAAAAACCTCAAAGTGGTGTGTCCATGTAACTGTCTTCCATGGCCACTCATCTTGTTTTTCTTTTCTTTTCTTTTTTGATAGTGAACTTCATTAAATAATAATAAAAAAAATCTAGTTAAAAGTTATCCATCATAGAAAAATTTATCAATAAGATCATGCAGGATAGCTATTATAACAACACCTGGGATTGCTTCTTTTGCAACCAATATGATGGGTCTCTCTCTAAAAAATCCATAGTTTCCATATACTCTCATAACCTCAGGTCCTCTATCCCTTCTTCTTTCTGGGACCTCTAAATAATGCAAATTAAATATAATATTTGGTTTTATGATGAAAACCCTCTTCCATGCATAGCTGTCTAAATTGTCTCATCGAATTTATCTTTCTGAAAAGGATCCAAAAGAAATATCATGAATAAGATTATTTTAACTCACCTGTTTAAATTCTTGAGTAGGCTAAATTCGTTGCTATAATTTATGTGTCAAATTGTCTAACAGGATCTTCATAGCTGTATACCTATCTTTGATTTTGGGATCTTCCAAATCTTATTCCTGCATTGACTGCCTGTCTCTATATTGGGATCTGTGCATCTTGGCATTAAAGATATTAGAATTTTGTCAAAGTCAATAATATTATTAATTATATGGTTTATCTTCGTAATTTTGTAGTTTTTGCATTATTGTTGATTTATATTTTATTAAATTAAAAAGTATATAAATCTCAAACAGAAACGTTCAGATTATAGAGCTTCCTGAACATTATCTATTGGGAAACTGTAATGGGTCATTTGGGTCCCTGGATATACAAGTTCTGGAACTTGGGCATGCAAATTGTAGCATTAAAACCTGGTTTTAGGAACGGTGTTGTTTGGTTAGCTTCTGGAAAAACCCAATATATAACAAATCCCCTGTTTGGCTCTACTAAGTTGAAAACCATGCGGTAGAAATTTGCTGTTAAACCAGTTTAGTCGTTCATTTTATAAGTTGATGATTCTATAGTAGTATATGTCCAATAAAAATGATTTCTTAAAATAAGACATCCATAGTATGATAAAGAAATTAGATAGTTCAGATCTTATTTTGACACTCATAATATGATAAATAAAAGCATATAATAATAATAATAATAATAATAATAATAATAATAATAATAATAATAATAATACAGATAAATAATTAAATAATAATATAAAAAATATAATAATATATAACAATATATTTATTATATTAATATAATATTAAAAAATTAATAAATATTATAATAAATTAATAAAGATCAT